TTATATATTTTTTTTTTTTTTTTGTTAAGCAAAATATATTGATGAGGGATAATTAGACATATATTTTAGTGATCCTAAAGACGTCAATGACGTCAATGAAATAGCCATGAAACGATCAAAATAATAGATACTTTCTAATGAATTTAATAATGATTTCGCCTATGTTACTCTGCATTGCTGCATATTAAAGAGTTTTATGTGTTATGTAAAATTCTTTAAGTAAAAAAGCCTAGTGTATCCAATGATCTATGAAATATAAAACACATATTTCAAGCGAAATATGTGAAGTATTTCATTTATCAAGTTATACATACACACGATCAAATAATTTTATATATAATGTAGCAGTTAATATGCATCAATACAAGAATTTAAATTTGTTCCAAGTTATTGTCGAAAAATTTAGGAACACAGCTTTAAGAAATTATTGACGTTAGTGATCGTAATTTTGATCTATTTTGTGAATTTTGGAACTGAAAGTTATAATAATTTGACCAACTTTTTAAAAACTTACTTTTCTTCGGTCAATAATTTATTAGATAATTAAAAAGATATATTTTAGAATTTTTTTTTATGGAATGGGTTATTCGCTTACAAAATAATGATAATTTAGAGATAAATTTTATAAAAATTTTAAATATTTACTAAAAAGATCTTTTATTTTCTGTGTTCCTAAATTTTCTGATGGTAGTGTCTTTATAAATTCTAAACACAGCATTTTTTTTAATTTGTAATGTAAATACATTCCGCTATCACATGTGACGTTCTTATGTCAAGATTTCTCGCTCGAAAAATTTACATCATAGATGTAATTAATTTTCTTATAGTCCATAAAAAGATATATTGATCACATTAGGAAAGAGGGGAGTTAAATCTCATCATATATGTTATGTATATAGGTCAAGTGATATATATGTTTATGTAACACATCTTTTTTCAAGATTATGTTTGTGTTGAAATATATTTTAAAAAGCGATATATTCCGCGAGCTATCAGTCCTGCTGTAGCCTGATTATAGCGTCTCGTTATAATTAGTATCGTTAATTTTTATTAATTTTAATTCATGAAATCTGATATTTCTTAAAGACCTAATTACCATTCTCGCGCAATGATTCATGCAGTAACATGACAACACCGGACTAAACACACATAATAGCATTTTTATAACATATGATAAATACTCAAAACACCTCGCAGGGTCGTATTTACGCGGGTCGTTCAAATTCACTCGTGCGTCAGGAAATATTTTGCAGCATACGTAAATCTAATGTAAGCCTATAGTATCATAGTTTACATCAAGAATTTCAGCCATTATGTACTCGTTTTGAAAAATAAATGTTCATTAACAAGATTCTTTTCTGTATAGACATCACTTTTTTATATCATATATATCAAAGCAGCGCAAGAGTAAAATATCAATTCTTGTAATCATAGATCAGTATCGCTTTATTAGCGTTTGATTCATGTTACAATTTAAGAGAGAGCAAATGTGTGAAGGAGAAAAAGCCAAATGCTTGCAAATTTCCATCTCACGAAAACAAGAATTAAGATATTTTTACTGAGCACGCAATTATTGTACAATTATATTGTATATCACTTACGTAGACGTACACATAATCGTCGATTGTTCATATAGTTCACAGTATTTTACAATATGTCGCTCTCCTATAATTATTATGCGCATACACGTCGAACAGTTTTATGTATAGGTAATTAGATATATATTACGCTTTTTATTACATATAATTCGTCCGCTTTTATATTTTGCTTTTATACTCGAAATCGTCGTTCAGAAATATTGTAAAAATAAAATTGATTTCTCTCGAGATGCTTTTAATTCGTAATTATATAAGTATATATTCCCTAGCCGAAACATAACCCATTATCATTTCAAGCTTTTATCCACTGCTCCACGTATTCTAGCGCGCCCAGAAGTATCTTTTTCTCCGTAACCCTCAATTGAACAGCCATTTTTTTTATTTGCGGCAATGTGGTCTCCAATAAATCTAGATCCTCCTGGAAGAAAAGACATCTGTATTGATAACGGCGCGCGGTCGACACATCAAGGCAGAGTAATGACGGTGCAATATCGGATTTCACTTTCACCTTCAATGTCGTCGGATAATTAGCGATTAAAAGTTGCAGCCTAGTCAACAAAAATTTTCTGACATTCTCCTCGACGACCGTCTCCAACGCACAGTCCATGTGCTTCAGGTCGAAGACCTTGTCCGAGCGTAACCAGTGCGCAAGCTCGGCCTTTCGCATACTGAACACTCGCAGAAAAGCCAATAATGTATCGGAAATGGGTTCCGTACCCGGCTTTAGTAAAAATTCCCCTACCGATGGCAAACCCAGTTTGCTTAACAGTTCTATTCGCTCCTTCTGAAGGGAATCTGCTTTACTAATGCCAAGACGAAGTTTAAAACCATCCTGTAAAAATCACAATTTATAAATATATATATAGAAAAAAAAAAAATTAGAGAGATATTTAATTATGAGAGGAAATGAGTAATTAAGAACAAACATACAAATTATGCGATGCAATTTCTACAAATATACAAATATATATATATATTGTTCTTAATTACTCATTTCCCCTCATAATTAAATATCTCTCTAATTTTTTTTTTTTCCCCCAAATATGCGTACTTGTTTGTTATTCATATAGACAAAGCCCGAATGCACGAAAAAATCGGAATTTGTTCTTGGGCCGTAACTTATGAATACTTGTTCCCCTTTCTTGAAGTCCCTCAACGAGTAGCACTCGCAGCGATCCGATGTCGCGTTGAAATCTGTCGTAATCTACGGCAATGACAGAGAAAACAGCATTAAATCGTCCCACGCGAGTTCATTATCCGTGTTACTTACCCTGCCGTTCTCGTGATTGCACATATCCCACATCGGGATTAAGGCATGAATCATGCGCGAGCCGTCCGGGCTCGGAATTAAGTTCTGTCGTGTCATTACCGTTGAAACCGCCCAACTGAAAAAAATAAACATTTCGATATCAGTAGAGATTCCGGTTAAAATGCCAACTTTATTAATCAAATAATGCCAATGTAATCGGCATAATGGTTTCGTTTTATTATCAAGTACAATCAGTTTATATTAAATAGCTCTAGTCCAGTATCTAAATTTTTGTGAATAATCTAATAACGATCTTTTCGATCTGAAGCCGCTTGATTCGAGGTGAAATCCGGTTATCGACTATCAAAAAAAGTCGTTGCAACGTAATGTGTGTGCATTTGCGTCAATCTCCGAAGCGTGAAGCGTCGACTTTCGCCTTCGGGGAAGATTAAGGAAGAATATTATCAACCCGCCGCGAGCGAGCGGCTACTTTTCGGGCGTACGAGAACTTGACCCAGAATTCCGGAAATGAATGTATATACATGAAGACACATTGCCGTAGTTGTGCCGTCCGATACAGCGTACTTTCTCTCTTTCTGTCCGGAGAAACGCGCGCTTCTCACCATCACCATTACCACCGTCATCCACATGAATGATCGCGTGTTACTCTCGTTCACCAAGATTTCAGCGCTTGTATACATATATAATAATGAGACCCGCGCATATAATAAACAATCAACCAATGTGGCGGTTGCGTGATCCAGAGCTCTTCACCATGTAGAACAAATTCAATCCAGTAAACTGTGTCAAGCTAATAATGCCTAATTATCTATTCGATACAGCCTATTCTCATACGGTCTTTCGAATTCATTTCAGCTGATCTAAAATATGAAGCAGAATTGTAACGCTTCTTTCGAAAAAAGATGGAAATCAGAATTGTATTCTACGAAAAACTTCGCGATATACAATTTCGATGGATTAGAACGATCTAGAAATAATCTCTTCAATATGGGACAAAATCCGATTTAGAATTTTATGTGTCAAAGATATTTTGTCTCCAATTTTGTCACGAGTTATAAATCAGGATATTAAAAGTCAACGACCTCGATTTACGAAAAAGTCAATGACTCTGTGCCCAAATATTTAGATTCGACTGCGAGATAAATCCAAGATAAGAACAGGTTCGCTGTTGTGGCTTCTCTATGCGATACCACGAACTGACACGCTACTTGGTGAACTGCTACAATCCATTGCATTGCAAAAAGCCTAAACGAATAATCAGTAAATAGAACAATCGTGTCGTAATAACGATAAAAGTGAAATTTTAGTGAAAAAAGGCTCGTCGTAATAATCGTAGAAAATTAGGCATCCTCGCCGCTTTAATCGCATTTGCTTCATGATAAAAAGAAAAAAAATATTCATAATTGGTTGATAGCTGCATTAAATTATCCCTGTAACATTTGCAGTTTATAGTTCCATACAACTTTTAAAAATCGCGTGTGAAGTATATTTTGTATGCAATAGAAAGCCCCGCATGTGTGTGAAATAATAGTAAACCATCCGCACACGATATTCGATATTCTATATTAATGTGATTAAATCGCGAGGAAAAGATTTTTTCATACTTAATACTCCTACGTTATTGCTAATCAAAACTACGATAATATTTCTGATATCAAAATTAGATTTGTGACAATTGTATGAAAGTTCGGAACCGTGAAAGTATGCGAAGTGACGCGATTTCCTCACGAGCGGAGATCTAGAGAAGAGGTATCGCGTCAAAAGTAGCGAGAGAAGCGCGTTCTTCGATGATTTCGCTCGAGAAAAGCATCGACTCTTCTCCGATCTCTTTTCCTCGACGCAACACTTCCCATCGCTCCTACATGTATGCGTTTGTCTGTATTATGTGCACCGCACGCTGCGAAAGTGATCGGGCAACGCGATCTTTCGCAAAGCCCGCATCTACGTTCGACGATATGATTAACGATAACGCGCTAATAACGCTAGTATCTCGCCCGCAGCATTTTTAATGTTTGCCGCTCGTTTTCTTTTCACGTTGAATCCCAAAATGCAATCACAATTTTTATATTGCGTTTAGTTTACGTACGACAACTATGATGTTTTGAAATATGTATATATAACAGCGCATATTTAAAAAAGTAATATGAAAATTTTTCGTAAGAACTGTGCTATTTATTTGTAAAGATGATGTATATTTTGTGTAGGTAATTTGAATTGTTTGCTACTAGTTTGTGATACTTCAAAACAAGTAGGACACGAATACACCAGATAATTATAATAAACTTACATATATATACCTATACATCTGAACATACAAAGGATTAGCTGAAGATTGCTCAAGTTCCCATGATGAGAAATTTTTAACGAGCATATATAAATATATATTTTTCTCATAATACAACAGTCTCTCTCTATAATAGCATATAATATGGCTAACCAGGACAGGAACGTTACGCCGATTCCCGCGTTAGAAATCTTAAAGTGTTAATGCAAGTGTTTTGCGGTTATCATTAATCATCGTGAGTTTGGTATGTGACTACAATAGTCGTAATGACATTTATATAGCGATATAAAATAAATTCATTAAAAAATATAAATTGAATGTTTACAAAAAATAGATATGCTCTCTAAAAGAGAGCGCGAGTTATGTAAAAGATAAATATTTTCAATACATCTCTTTCATAAACATTTTTCCGAATAAGCGAGATAATATTTTAACACAAAGATATCATAACAATGTTATGAGAAAATTCTGCATGCAAAAATGAATGTAAACTCAAAATAATTAATATCTTAAAAGAGAGAAAGAGAAAGATTTATCATCCGATGCATCATCATATTTCCTTATATCGACATGTTAGATTGGAAAGTATCGCCGGTTCGAGAGTTCTGACACTCTCGCGCACTAATATCATCCTTGTGGGTTAAGAGAACACCAAGCTTCATTAGATGCACGGTAAGACGATCGCTATTATTTTCAGCATGAAACGTGTCCGAGGTCGGTTCGCTCGGTCGATCCCTTCGCCTAAGCGCAACGCGCTCGCTTATCCCGTAGAAAGTGTGCATAGAGAAGATCTCATGATCTGCGATTCATCGTGCGATCTTCCCACGAGTACGCTCGAGAGTGTGTATCCATTCCCCGTGTGTGCTGGTAATAAAGCTATTTCAAACGATCTACATATGTGATCGAAGCTTGTTCCCAACTCATTTTGAATCTATATAAAGATGTTGCAGAGCCCTTCATCTAATATACAAGATGAGAATATTGATTTTAGACAAGAATCAATATTTAAAGTTTAAGACAAAAGTTAAATTATTTTGAAAGGGCTACATTTTTTTTTTTTGATCATCTTAGTTTTTTTTAAGTGCAAACGTCAAAAAATTTTGAAGATCATCTCAAGTCTTTTAAATGGAAAGCCCTATTTTTAATCAGCTATAATTGTAGAGAATAAAAAGACAAATCGAACAATCTATGATATACCTTGACCGTGGAGTAACTTTGAAATGATCTTGAAAAAACTTGAGATGATCTTCAAAACTTTTTGACGCCTAAATCTAAAAAAAAAAAAAAAAAACTAAGATAACCAAAAAATGTAGCTCTTTTAAAATAATTTTACTTTTGTCTTAAGCCTTTTAATCTAAAATCAATATTTATGGAGATATTTTATGTTAGAAGGCAATTTCTAATCACTCATCTTGTGTAATGCTTTGAGGTCTTACTTTTTTTATTTATTTATTATAATTACAGCAATATATTTCAAATCACAGAGAAAAAACTTCAAATATTTTAAATTATAAATATATAAAATTTTCTGTCGCATATTATAGATCCTCTAAGAACTTAAAACACTGCAGTCGACTTCCGATATCCATCTGCACCTCGGCAAAAAATCGCATCGTTATTATTATCCTCGTCATCATCGTTCATTAACGACGAGTTCGCGCTGGTCATTTTCGTCAACCTCCTGCACGTCCAATGCGTAATCAATGCTCGATAAAAATTTTTTGCAAAAAGAATTCGCACGCGAGCTCTTTGGAAAAAACAAGAGATTCCGTTGCTAATTGCGATTAATTTAAAACTTCTTCCGTTTACGTGATCCTCTATACTCTATATTTTTTCCGTTATACCGGAACTGGCGAAAAAAGTAAGTTATTCATTACTCTAATAATTTATTATATTTCCACATAAAATGTAAAGGTAGAAAAATACAATAAATTAAATGGAAATGTTAAACAAAAAAAAAAGCCGATAATTAACACACATTAATTTAAACACTGAACTTTTGTTGATACTATAAAAGTACTGTTCTCAAGATATGTCATGAATAATGTCATAATTTCCAGAAAATGATTATAAATTATATTCAGTTTCTTTGAACAAATGTCTTACTTTAAAAAGAGAGGAGAAAGGAAGAGAAATCACGAGGCTACAAACGTTATCTACGTAAATTACGCGTAAAAAGATAGTTTACATAGCCTCGTCATGCTATTGTTATAAATGTTCAACACAGTTTTCTACTTTATGCTCATTTGTTGATCGTAATTTGTGACGTATGTATGCCATGATATAAAAATATACGTTGCAAAGCGCACGTAATACTTAACTCACATAATATTTAATATTAATGTAGAAAATATTAAATAATCATATTTAAAAAACAATTAAAAAAGTAATAGTGTTTTGTATGCATTGTACTATCGCATAAATCAATATGTAAAATTCACAGTTTATAAGCGTATTTCTAAAAACGTAGGTACACAAGCGTTAAGAGTCACTAAAATACCACCACAAACGCGATTTCTTCATCGCAATTAAAAATTCATACGTGACAGACGCGCATACAGATTTGCGTTAAAAGGATTTTCGCTTCGAGTGTCTAACGACTTCCGTTTCTCCGCCACTCGATGCGACAGTACTCCCGCGGATTCTGCGAGCAACCAATCATGATGAATGTGCAAATAACTAAGATTTCTTAAATTAACAACTTATCGATTCTTAGTGATCGCGTGTAAATATTCATGTGTAATTACGTTTTTCATATGCCAATAGCGGCCATTTATCATATAAAAAATATATTTTTTGTCATAACGCGTTTTAACGACAGCATTCTTTTTTCTCTCATTACGGATGAAACATCAATAAATACATGGCTTTATTAAAAGAAATGGTAGTTCCCGATTGTTTATATAATATTCTAATATAATATTTTAATATAATAATATTAAACGTCGAAAATATTCTACTTTATATTCTTCAGAACGAGCTACTTTCTCCAGCATCACAATTTTTCCTTCCACAAAATGTTGAAGATGCGACCATCGTGCCGAAGGTGGAACACCTTTCATCACGTTTCTCAATTTGGATAGTACCACGTGCACGGCAGATTCCTCGTGTTATCTGATCGGATCGGTCTGTGTGTAGTTACCGGATTCATCTCCGGCGCGAGTCGGTTCCGGAGAACATCTTGTTGAGAGCGGGCGAGTAGCAGTTAGTAGTAGTAGTAGTAGTAACAGTAGAAGAACTCACGGTATAAGACTACTCCTTTCGCGAGTTTCACCGACTTACTTAGGAGCGCGCTCAGAGAAAAGCGACGTCAGTTCGCAAAGGCGATTTGCCGAGAACGCAAAAGGAGCGCGAGCGCGAAAGTTTTATACGAATGTGACATACGAGCGGTTCCTCTCTTTCGCACGATCGAAAATGGAAAATGCATCCGTCGATCGCGACGTTTCCCGCGCGATGATCGAGAAAAAATTTTCATGATCTGAGAATAAAAAAAGAAAAAGGGGTAAAGCGAGAGGAAACAATATTCTCAGATATCAGAGTTTTCTTATTAAAGCCAAATAAGAGTGATATGCGATGGATTAAAAACATTCTGATACAAGCTGAGATAAGGTCGGACTAATTAATTTATTATCTCAGTGTGCTATAACTTTATAATGCGAAGAGGGTAGAGGATTAGTTTATTCCATCGCAATCGACTGTTTTTTGTGTATTTTTGTAAATTTTGATATTAATTCAATGGACCTCGGGGATTAAGTGCACATTCGCCTGCATGAGTCTTGAGGAGATCCTAAGTTTGTGCAACAGAAAAAACGTGATCTTTATTATTTTGTGCGCCGCGGTCATTTACGTGCATCTCATCGCCGAGAACGACGAGACGAAGTGTGTCGGCGGGAGAGGATCGCGGTGTCGCGAAGACGAGGAGGCATCGAGGTTCCTGATCGCGCTGCAACTATGCGGAAGACGTTTTCCGTGCTCGCGCTAATCGCATTCGCGTGTGACATCTCGCGCGACCCCCTGGTCCACGGCGACTCTGTCGGGAATCCGGAAGTTGCGGGAAGAAGCGATGACTACGAGTATCAGGTAACCGCGAAAAGTGTCATTCTCATACCCCGATGAGCACTCCGAACAATCTTATTTCAATATACACGATACATCTGAACATCTCGATTAAGCGAGAAATTTGTGGAAAATTTCTATCTAGACTCGTGAATAAAAAAAAAAAAAAAAAAATTAAAAAAAACGCGGATAACAAAGGCTGATTTTAAAACGCGAAAGGCTGATTTTAAAACGCGATTGAATTTACCGTAACATTAATACTTATTATATATTTATAACATAAACGTTTTTTATATGTCTTAACTTTTTTTAAAAAATCTGACGTGAGCGATTTATACATATTAGAAAATAATATTAGATATTCATTATTAAGAATTTCACAAATTTCACACTAATTTTAGCGCGAAGCCAGTTCCTAAAGTAATATTTTGCGGTTTAGACGCGGAGAAAATTTATGATTACATTATCAACTGCAGAGAGCCGAAAGTTGTTCCTTCCAGACTTTTAACCGGTCGTGTTTTTTTCGCGAAAACTGGTACTGGTTACTAAATTCCATGACATTCCGTGGCAAGAACATTCGTCATATGTTGTCACAGTACGATTCTAACTCGGGCAGAGAATATATATGCACGCACGTCAGTCCCGACCTCTCGATTACAAAATGATTGTGACGTTCGCGGGTGACAGGTCCAAGTTCCGTGGTAATTGCATTCATTAAATATCATTAAACTCGAGTGATTCAAGTTAAGCGCAGGATATTAGGAATACTTTTTAACTCTATCTTTTCGCACATGTCAAAGTGATAAAAATTTGACATAACACTGTTCATAGCACACATTAGTATTTTTTCATAAATAGTTAATCATAAATGATAAAATTAATAAAATTAATCGCTTTTACTTTTCACGAACTTTTCATTTAATAAAACTTTGTAACGTAAATTATAGTTTTCAAAACATTTGTCTTCGTCCAATCCTAATCAACAAAGTGATAAATTTAAAACCTTATTCAATGAGAATATAACTGCGTGCCATGTTTCATCATATCCTTTTGACTTTTAACGTGAGAATTTTAACAAACTAAATTAAAATAAAATCGACTGAAACTTAAATCGCTGAAATTACTTTTCGATCCCTTATAACATGGAAAAATTACCGTCTAGTTTATAGTTTGTAGTTGAGAGAAAGTGCGAATTCTGCGTATCTGCTTGTATTCCCGTGATTGCCATTATATTTTGCGGCGTATCGAAATCGACTCGTAAGATTGCTCTATCGGAACGCTTTTCCTTCGGAATTTTTCACCGATGCACAGAGCCGCGAAATCGACGCACCGAGACGAGAAAACTGACGCGTAAACCACGAGAGAAAGAGAAAGCACCGCGCGGAAAGTTCAAGATTTTATGAGCATTTTGTCGTATATCCACGTATCTTTAAATCTTTACTATCAGAATTTGAAATGAGAGAACGCGAAGAGCAAAATCCAGTGCCTAATCCAGTGAATGTATTCTTTAGAAAGAGAGAGGCGGATAATGCACGTGTAGTAAACAGCACCGGTTGTCATTCTAGGATTTTTAACAGGCCTGGAGAAAATATACAATTACATATAAATTGAATAATCTATATGTCATAGAAAATAAAAAAATATTGAATTCGTACAGAATACATGTGCTGTGATATTAGTGTCAAGAATGATGAATCTAAAAGCAAAGGCTTCGATAATCGGCGAACGAACAAAATACGGCGAGTCATTTCCGTTACTCGCGCGAGAATAATTGTGGATAATTTCCCACGTGACTCGCGAATATGCGAAATTGGATCGTGGAAAATGGGAACGCGCGCGCATGCGGTCCTTTTCACGGCGAGAAAGCGAAGTGAAAATCATCCGCGAAAGCACGGAACTTTGTATTAATGAAGTTACGAAATGTTTTAATATAACGATAACGAACCAATTGAATTAATGCTCCCTTACGAAACGCCACAATGACTCACTTATGCTCGATTTGTTATTTACGCCTAATGCACTTTACTTTACTTTAACAGCGTAACATCTCGGTAATGAGGATGCTATGAAGCAAAATAATTTTATCTTATTTTGTGTTTATAATAAATAAATAATCTCTATTAATTGTAATCATTAAAAATTTGAGTAGATTAAATAAATTGGTATAAAAATAAGTAAATACATATGTGTGTACAAAAATTAATTTGTAAGTAAATTAAATTATTTTACTCGTTGTGTGTAAAAGAGCAAATAATGATTTAATCTATTTTGTATATAATTCCGGTGGCGAATTAACTTCCATAGAAGATTCGTTTCACAAAAAACGAGAACGGAAAAACATCCGCGGGCGAAGAATCGCACTTGCGGCTCCTTGTTTCGCACGTTCTCACGCGTTCTCTTTCGCGCACGTCCGGCTTGCGAAAGTAAAAGCGAGAAATCACCGAATATCCTTTCATCGTGCCGCTTGAAGAAGATCCTGACGAATAATCGAGAGATACATGCGCAAGATCTAATGTTCGCGACGCGTACTTCCGCGGCACATTGTTAACTCACGAATTATCGTTTTCGACGAAAATGACGAATAGGTATAAAGAATATTCCCAATCTGTGAAAATCTTTTCGATCTAATACATCGTAAAAATTTATTCTCTTTCTCTGATTTTATGAAAATAAACTCCGTTTTAACAAAATTTTAATTGTGAATATTACAACTCTTTGTGTTGAAAAAATATTATTTTTCTTGGCGAGATATTGATTTGCAATTTACATAAACATGCTGTGACAATATTTATTATACGCATTGCAAACATCTCAGTACTTTCTATCGTTACGGTCGTTAGCCTTTACTGTTATTCACAACCGCATGCCTCGTTTAACAACAATTTCCCGCGTGACTTGTAACGAATTGCAATTTGCCAAAGTTTATTTAACTTTATGCTCGCAAATTATTTCAAGTGGCAGTGATGTTGATTTAATTTCATAGAAATTTCCCAGAATAACAGATTAATTCTCCAAACTTGAAATTAAATATATTCTAAAATATATCAAGAAACTTGTTCCGATATAAAAAATATTAAATTATTGCGAAATGTATCACACTTTACGAAAATAATTGTTATAATAAAATAAAAACATAAAAAGTTAATAATTATTCCTATGTGAACTTGATATTTTTCTACATCATTAAAACATAATTAAAATATATTATTCTTACACGTGTAGGCATTATCGTTATTGCAAAACTTGTATTATGCGAAACGTTGATTTAGATTATATCCGCATTCATATATCGCTAATTAATAATAGAAACCTATTAAAAATATTAATTATTAGAGGAGAATTCCTAATTTTTTCAGAAAGAACCGAACGGACAGTTCGACGACGCGGAAGTGCCGCGAAGGTCCATGGGAAATCGCGAGCAAAGTCCAAGCGAGCCCGTAGGTAAATGGAGAAGCAACGGCGAGGCCCTCGAGCCGAAGTGGCGAGACGGCGATTACATACCCCTTTTACCATTCTCTCACTACCGATCCTACACAAGGGACGAGGTCGACGACGCTGAGGACTTTTCCGAAACGAATCGTCGACCGTTCAAGTATCGTTATTCGATCGATCAACCAAATCGTCCTCGAGGAAGTCCAGACAGACGAGGCGTTTCATCTTCGAGCGACTACGACGAAGCGACGTATCGAAGTCGCGAAGATCATCCGCGCGATAGTTCGACGCCCGATGAGGAAACGATCGAAAGCGCGGCGAGCAACGATGGGAAACGCGGTCGCAATATCGTCGATGATTCGGTTAACAACGACAGGGAAGCCTCGAGATATCACGAGGCCTTCCAGGCTCGACCCGACGAGTACGAGCACGAATTCAATGACGAGGAATACATGAAACCTCGCCCAAGGAAAAGAAGACCACCGCAGAATTACGAATTCGCTCTGGCGAACGAAGCATCTTCTAATGAGGAAAACGAAGAATCAAGAGATGCCTCTCAATTTCCGTTATCGGAAAGCAGTAAAAATCTTCCGGTAATAACGCGATCATCCGACAACGAACGAGAAAACGCGCTCGAGCTGAAATCACTATTAAAGATGCAGCAAGAGGAGGGCTCGAGTCTGTCAGAGATTCTGCAACGAAGGAATCTGAGCTTGAGCGATCTCCTGAAGGGCAAGGCCGACGTGATCAACGCTCTGAAATCAAGAATCACCGACGAGTCCGACGAATACATCGAGGAGATGTCGAGGGTAATGTCCGATTCGTTAATGAAGCTCGCCGCAGTAACACCACCTTGGAAATCCACAACGACCGAAAATACTACTATAAAAATTGCGGCGGCTTCAAGTACTTTAGATAACTCCATATCCAGGGTAATGATCGTCTCGCATGAAGTTTCAGAAAATTATGACGAAGTATCTTCAAACGAAACGAATCGTATTAAAGAAAAATCGAATAAAGCCGAAAATATCGCGACGCAATCCGTGCGCGATTCTTCGTGGCGAAGAATGGCTTCGACAACTCCTCCGATCGTCTCGACAGTGATTACCACATCGACGACATCGCCGCCGATCGCGGTAAACTCCATGGAGTACTTTCTGAATGACGACGGCAACGCGGGATCGACGAGCGATCGCGCGGCAAAATTCGAGAATCTTGACGAGGACGAGATCATGGAGTTCTCGGACTTTACGGACTTCAAGAAGGGAAACATCGTCTCGCGATATCGAGTCCACCTTGAGCATCGAACAAATTCTCAATCCCACGGAGCGCATCGAGCCGACGAGATATCGCAAGAGCGATCAAGGCAGCAATACTGAAAGTAATAGCAATAAAAAGATTACTCAGGATCAATCAATTCCTATTGGTGAACAGGCGTCTGCGGAGGATTACAACACGTTTATCGAAGCCGAGTATCAGAACGATGCTCCGATCCCTGAAGAAGATCATGGAAAGCAGAATAAAGTAAAGAGTAATCCAAGCGCTAGTCAAACTGATGCTGTCGCAAGTCCAGTTGAGAAAAAACAAACCGCGAATCCAGATGATGATATAAAGAAGCTGTACGATAAGAATCACTCAACCGAGTATCATCAGGTAAGTCGATCGCCAATGGAAAAGATTCGCAATCACTCGAGTTTGAAGAATCATCAAGGTACGGATAGCAGGCACTATGAAGAGGTCATCTCCGAAATCGAACCGGAGGCACGAGCAGAGATCTTCGAGCTATTCGCGTCCGGCTCGGCCGGCAAACGATTAGAGCGGCTTCTAAAGTCGAGAAACATGAGCGTGGAGGAATTGATAGCATTGCGTCAAAGAGGGTCCAGCAAGGTGCACTTGACAGAAATGTCGCGATTGAGAGTAACTAAACCGCAGAACAATCTTCAGACCTTAGAAACCTCCAATACAAACAATGAAGATATTATCATACAGCTCTCATCAACTGGTAATTCCAATGGACACATCAGCGAAGATAAGAAGATCTCTGAAAAGGAAGGCGCGAAGCGAGAGAAGGCGGAAGAGTCAATGTCTCAGTTCATCAAGCAAGACATCATGGGCTATTTACACGATCCTTTCTTCGACAAGAACGTGGAGAACATGTCGATGTCAAGATTGCTGGATCTCGTCGAGCGTGACAAGAATGCGTCGAGGGGAACGTTTCCTGAAAATGATACACTAAATGAACATAGTGAACTGCAGAATTCTCGTCGAACGGTGCAGATTGTTGGTTTACTTACGACATTCGATTCTTTTCCTTTTATAAAAGACGTGCAGCGACAGTTCGATACAGTCAAAATCAATAATAACGAATTTGAACCTAAGCTTCCGATAGACAATGATAACGCGAGTGTATTGTTAGTCGACGAAGATACGAAGATCGTTGGAGCAGATAACTCCTCTGGCCAATTCCATGCCGGATATGTAAAAGAAATCGTGAAGGAGGAACCGCACGTCATCGATATAAAAACGATTTACGGGGAAACGATGAGCGATGGGGAAGAGAGAAAGACCCTGTCACAGATGAAGCCAAGCATAATAGCGAGCGGCGCGATATTGGGCGTAACGATCGTCGTGTTCCTGGCGATCTTCATCGTGTGCCGGATTCGGCAGAAGCAGAAGTACACATACAGAAACACGTTCTCCCGCGCGGTGTTCCAGAACCCGGTTATGATGGCGAGAAAACTCTCGAATTCCAGCAGCCTCAGCACCGTGATGGTAAATGTCGTCGCGACATCGACGACCAAGAGGCCCGAGAGAACGGAAATGCAGGAGACTGTGGAGGAGTTTGACGGCAAAAGCGATATAGACAACGATTCGTTGGATGGGAACGACAGCTGGGAGACGATACCCGATTACGCGAAATAATTCGTTGTCGGCACAATCGATACGATAGTCTATCAGTTTGATGCAGAAAAAATTTGTCGCGTTTATCAAATGAAATTAAAAACATTATATCCATTTTTAATTGCATATTTTTTTTGTTTTATAATTTTTATTTTAAATGATATAATATTATCATCATTGAGGGATTCCCAATATATTTTTTCTATTTAAAAAATGTTTCTATTTTTTTAATGCTTATATTTAATAAAATAAGATTTAATAAGAATGCCGACAAAAACTTTGCATCAATCTAATAGAAAGCCACCAATATTTTCGCTTATCAAAAATAAACTGTATCATAAAGGCTGATTGGATGTCCTTAGCGAGCACTTTGAAGCACCATATTGATTAAATTAATCATGAGATTTTATCAACAAAGGATTAAAATAATTAAATCCGTAAATGTATATATACATATTTTTCTAAATTAAATCGACCAATACAAAGTTACGGAAAAAAATTGTAATTAAAATACGTAATTAAACTACCTTCTCTGAATAATATTTATCATCTTGGCACAAATAATCAATTGCAAATATTTGAGCTGAATCTAATGTGACTTTATCATTAAATTGACAGATGAATTATATTTTGCTGAGAGAAAACTTCCATATAGAATAAGATATATTTATTTATAGGTTTATATATATATTGTATAAGTTGTATTTTATATAAAATTTGTAAATTTTATTCGTTTTATTTCATGATTACCTATCCTAATTTAAGAGATTCGATAATGCAATGATTTAATTGATTTAATTACTCACCAGTATTTTTCATAGGTGAAAACATCCCTGAGTATCACTGAAACGGCGTTATTGTTACTTTGAAATACTCTGTTAAAGTAGGAATACTGCCTGGCGATATTTCGACATTGCTTCAACGCAGCCTCTGCACAAAAATAAAATTAATCTAATATATATTTTGCTGAGAGAAAACTTCCATATAGAATAAGATATATTTATTTATAGGTTTATATATATATATTGTATAAGTTGTATTTTATATAAAATTTGTAAATTTTATTCGTTTTATTTCATGATTACCTATCCTAATTTAAGAGATTCGATAATGCAATGATTTAATTGATTTAATTACTCACCAGTATTTTTCATAGGTGAAAACATCCCTGAGTATCACTGAAACGGCGTTATTGTTACTTTGAAATACTCTGTTAAAGTAGGAATACTGCCTGGCGATATTTCGACATTGCTTCAACGCAGCCTCTGCACAAAAATAAAATTAATCTAATATAAAAACAAAATCCTTCAATTATCCAAATAAAAATTACAAAATAAATTTATCTGAATATATTATTAGTATAAGATTAAATTATCATTATCCTTTATTTATAAAAAATATAAATGAAAACGAGTGCATATTTATCTTTAGGATAAAAGAGTGTGAAAAGTAAAGAATTTTATAAATATTTGTCTATGTATACCTAATGTAGGACTGCCTTTAAGCTCCATCATATCATTAGCTTTCATATATAAAACTGTGTTGTAGCTACTAGGAAGCATATCCAGGTAAGGCTTCCACTTGGAGTTCTCCTTATGCCTCTCTACGAGAAGCGCTATTGCCAATGCCACTTGTGGCATATGCTGCACCAGTGGATCATTTTGCAGAACTGTCAGTTCTGGTGCTGCGGTATACGTACTGAAGATGAGAGCCCTCGGTATTTCCAGGATCAACTGATTTTCAGCAAAGTCGGTCTCTGCCTTTAGTCCCAGATCACATCCCGGAAATTCAGCGATACTCATGCCGTCCATACGTGCCCCATTCTCTGTAAGCCAATTCATAAATTGTCCAATCCCCTGGGATCGCTGAGACGATTCTGTCTTCATCTCCTCCAGACGTTTAACCTTCAGCAGAACTTCCGATATATCCAAGTAGTTGTTCCATAATTGCGTCACATACGCTGGATTGCTGCTTACTGCAAACCCACCAAAATAGCAAGTAAAAACAATTTTCTCACAACTGAAAATAACTGAGGAATAGATTCCAACAGTCATATATGTGTGGAAACAAAGTATAAAATAATATCACAAAATACAAGAAATCCTTGTGCATATATTTATATTCCATCTTTTCTCATATTTTAGCCAAGTTTCGAGAATATACATGTTCATTTATTATCAACACAATCGATACAATTTTTCTTACTCTGTTCCAAGCGTGGGAAACTCTTCCCTCTCTGATGCGCCGACAATACATCACAAAAGCAAATCAGACGTGAAAATACTCACGATGAAAAAGTTTCTCGCACAAGGCATTAAGCTCGTTCCTCTTCGCCGCGGATATATGCTTCTGCTGCGATGATGGACTCTGTTGTTTACCTTTTGCGTGAGCCTTCTTCCTGCCCATTTTTGTCTACTATCTTACGGCGCTCTCGTCAAGGCTCACCGTCGCTCTCAGATACATTATAATGCGTAACGCGCGGCGCCTATGACGACTGGCAAGAATAAACCCTCTTTCGCCGCAACGAAAATAGCACGTACGGGCCACTCGTGCCCGTACGACGCGGGTGTCGAAATACGGGCGACATAACCTGAAAAGCGCGGGAGCCGCGTTTTACGTATCGCGCGGTTCCCGTTTCGTCCCTTTTCCTCTTCCCGCGCCGCACTTTATTGATTTTCCAATTTCTGCCAGGGGGGTGGGTCACCTACTTTCTCGTAACTCCTACCTCTTGAACTTTCTTTGCCACTGAATCTCGATCATTCTTCGAACTGCCGGCAATAAATGGAATACTTATTCCGGGATGACGTATCGCCGATATCTTCACCGCGAATCAGTATGCATGTATATACGAGAAATTCGTAATTATACAAGATTTTAACTGTATATATAAATGCGAAAGATAATTCATCTAGTCTTATAATCTCCAGACATCCTGCGTCTCGTTATTTTTATATATGTTTTTTTTTTTTAATGTTATTTTATTATAAATAAAAACGAGACGATTTAAATCACATTGTAAATCAATTTCTTTCTTCATGGGTATTGTGATCTGTACCTTGTAAATTATATATGTGGACTCATTTACATATACATAATATACATAAATTTTATATACAAAATAAATGAAGGATCCGTATTCATGAAATTATTCCATGTATCGTATTGAGTAATATTGTAATTTGTTGTTCTTCCTCGGCTTAAAGTTACATTAGAAATAACAACTGTAAAACAAACAACTATAAAAAGATGATACTGTGAACGTTATTAAACATATAACTGATCTATAAAAAAGAAAATTGTGCAATGTGTTGCAAACATGTGTACTACATGTCTGTCTATTGAAATATTTTATAAACTATGTATATATATCTCCAATCGTTCAACATTTATTTCAATAAAAAAAAAAAAAAATAAAGCAAAAGATAATATGCTCACAGCAGATCGAGATGTGCGTGTCGTTAAACATCCATCGTTCACAAGGTATATTCACGTAAGATCTTTTGTTATACATATAAAAAATTTGTTAATCGGAAATATAAAATCCGCTTGATAAATTATCGAATTCTTATGTATAACAAAACATAGTACAATAAAACATAGCAAATATATGAATTTTCACGCTGCAAAGTAAAAAGTAGCTTCTATAAGCAGTTTATGAAATATAAATGATGAAATATATATATATATATATATATATATGCTAAAATATGTATAATAAAATCTAGACAAACAAAATGTTATGATGCGGAAACTTATGAGTGTATGCTACTGTGTGGGGTTTATCCACCAAATAAATTTCAGTAACATTATTTAAAACAATTTTAATGTGTCCAATTTATATTACTTAAAACTTAAATTTAGCATATCTCTAACATTGTTTTTTCTCTTATCTCATAGTATAAAATATAAATCTCTATTCCTCTAATGTATTTTTTGCAGGAGATAATGTCTCAGGGTCCTAGAAGTAAAGAAACAAATTGTGCCTCATTAAAAGGAATATAGACACAGTCATTATTGAAAACTTACAATTATACGCATTTTGTACTTGGTACATAACGTTATATTTGATTATGCGTTTGTATGTGCAATAAAATAATAAGTATATTACACATTCTACACGATACTACCCCAAAGTTTTGCCATAGTTTCTTTGCAGCGGAAAACTCGTATCCTAAATATATACTAAAGATACAGATACAGTCACATATTATATTTATGTATATAATAATTTTTACAGTTTAACGTCTAAATAGAGCCATATATATAGACCACACGATTTTACACTTTCTGTTACTCCAATCGAAACTGGATGTTATATACTGTAAAATTATAAATCTAATTAATCTTTCGACTCTGAATACCATGCCGCAGGTATCCTGAAAAGAAAAAAAAGAAAGAAGGTCTAATGCATCAACGAGCATTGAAGAAACGATTCATTTCACTCCTGACATTCTTTTTCTTACAGATAAACATACAGTGCAGTTTTGTGTTAATTTCTTACCACATAAGAATCTATAACGTTCACATACTATGTAATCTTGTCGGATTACTTACTTTCAACGCAGGTACACATCACAGCAATTCAGATAAGGTACAGATCTATACCATTTCTTCTTTCTTTCGTACACGAAACAGTAAAATTGTAATATATAAAAGTCAAAATTTTATTTGATTAAATTAACCCACACAAGGATAGTAGAGCATGTCATATCATGTTTACTTCGTAGCAAAGATGGACGCGTCTGATACGCATACATGGTCCCGCGTATTTATCACAAAAGCATTAAATATACCACAATGGCTTTCATCGCTGTACAGTGTGTACCGATACGTTGTAAAGGGTTATTAATCGTTGAAGATTCTATAAAACTCATGGTACATAAATATATAAGTTACTTTCCATCCAAAAATTCGCAATTATTGGAGCACAGACACTGTATAGAGTTAATTTTACAAAATTCCCGAACTTCGCACATGTGTCGCTTTAACGTCTGTTCGCTTCATCCGACTTTTCGTATCATCGCGTCCACTTCTATTGCGCCGCGGTATCTAAAATGCTTTGCCGCCATGTGGCGTGGAAGGGAATTTTCAAGATTTTAACTCGTGTCTTGGGCAACGCGGTTAAGAGAAGCTTTTGTAGTTGTGGCAATGGTAAAATATCGACTTGCGGACTCGCCAGTTGCGGCTGTTGCTTGTCGTCTCCTACAAAATAATCAAATAACGATTCATAATATTATGTATATATATAGTAAAATCAGAGATATTAATGAAAATATGCTAATCTCTCTCAAGTTAATTACCAATGATAACTGCAACATACCTTTTTGATTCTCGTTTTCGTCTTCGACATCCGCAATCAATCGTAAGCAGGGGACAGGTTTTAAAACTGGTATAGAATCTCCAGTAACTTGTTTACTCATAAGATTGCACTGATCAACAAACAGTTCTGTAACCCTGAGTAATTCAAGGGTAACACCCCATATGAAATGTGTCAAATTGTTTGACAATTCCGTGACACCTCCGAGCACCATGTTATTAGATGTTGCTGATTGAGATATGTAAGTTGGTATAATTAGTAACCTCTTGATATTCTTGCAATTAGCAAGACATTTGTCAAATCCATTTTTCACATCAAAATTAACCAACTCCATCTGACAGAGATTTTCCAATTTTGATACGCCTTCAAGGATATCAAATGTACAACAGGATCCTTGACCCTTTTCAAGTCTAAGACGTTCCAATTTATTTAATTTAATTAAAACATTAGTTCCAAACTTGTCGGGAAAGTCAGAACATTCGCCCAATTCTAACGTTTCCAGATTTATTAATACCTGTATAACATCAATTTTCTTCTTTCCAAGTTCTTTAACTGATGTCAAACTCTGTACATAACAAAAAAAATCATATATATTATATATAGAACATATATAAATGTTTTAATCAAAATTATATTAAATATTAGGGCTCACCAGTTGCGTCAAGTGTATCAAGTTTTGTAGAGATGTAAGATCTTGTTGCAATGACATTCCACTTATTGCTTTGAGTCTGAGTTCTTGGCATCGACCTAGGTTTCCAATCGATTCCAAGTTGAGAGAATCACACTTAATCGACATTGCACTCAGTACCTCCAACTGAGGACAACTCTTAATAACTTCTTCGACCACCATGACGGGACATCTGCATAACTCAAGCTTGACGAGACTGGTCACTCGCGGTACAATAGTCAAAAACTTCCTCCAAATGTTATCAGATTCGCCAGAGACTAACATTTTTCTAAGATCTAGGTGTTGCGTACCGCGTCTCTGTAATGTTTCCGCCAGACCGTCCCAATCAGTCACCTGGCTATTCTTCATACGTACTGTCTTCCATAGAGATGGATGAGCCGCTAGATCATGCCACATCTTGCAAACTCGCCCGGCCCGCAGTAGTTCTTGCACTTTAAGATATTGGAAAATACGAAGCAGAGCGTGATAGCCGGCACAAACTGAACTCATGAAATTTTGCTGCTGTTCCATGTCCTGATTTTGCTTCCTCCTGAAAGTATTGAAAGAAGACAACGCACAATTTAAAAACAGATGCTTGACACCTATCTCACATCATACAAAAATAATTTATTTATTTGTATTATAACGATAAAAGTTTATTTTTAAAGAGACTTTTAAAGACGATTAGAAAAGTTATGTCTGTTATATAGTACAATTTTCGATATATGTCCTTGATGATATGAAAAAGCCTCTAGAAAAATAATCTCTGATTGAAAATTTATATATATAAATTATCTATTCCTAGCAACAAGGTGATAAGGCTTAAAACAAAGAAACAAATATAGAAGTGGATATAGGATTGCAGAATGAAAAGGATTGTGAAAATTTATGGGAGAACGCACTAAGAGTTTTTGTTTTCAGCTCGCACACATGTCTTTATATCTGCAAATATAAAAAGTAAAAATGAATTAGATTTTTTCCACTGAAGCACTTATCAGTAGCTTTATTTGTAATTGCAGCATGAATGTAAACATTTATACATAAATGTGCATAGTAAATTAATATCAAGTAAATCGCGCGCGCGCGAGTAATGCGATTGTAGGAATTAATTTACCTTGATACTACAATTACAAAAAAATACCGTGAGAATCAACGGGTGCACATTTTATTTGTTTTTCATATTTGTTGAAAATTTGGCCGCATTTCTAAGAAGCTAAGGCAGTGTGCTTCGATCATAAGATAAAATCAAATTCATTTTTAACATTCGAGATTTTCATATTTCCAAATATAATAAACACATTGGTATATATTGCATTTACAATTTTATATAATTTTTACATATTTATCAAATTTATAATAAAATGTGTTGTCGTAAAACATAAAATCTAATGTATAATTAAGCTAAAAATAAAAGAGAATATAAAAAAGTTTTATATAATTTTTACTGAGTTAGAAGCATGTGTGGATTATTATAGAAAGAGTATTTATAAACTTTGTAAATACAATATGTACAAAGCAACTGCCAAAACCTCAAAAGAGAGTTGCCTTAACTTAAATTACTTGGGAAAAGCATCTTAAATAAGGGATAAAATATAAGAATGTCTACGTGTTTCAAGGATTTACACTTACTTGCTATTTTTAATTTTTGTTACTGTACCCGCTTTACTTGATAACGATTGTCGACGAGCTGCTTTAATTGGTTCAGCGTTTGTTTCAAGAGCGTCTGCAGTATCTGTTGTATGTACTGGTGTACATGCAGGTTTATTTTCAGACAATTTACGATCTATATCTGCTTTTTTCTTGTCAGGCACATAATCTGTGTCAGCAGTGGAAGATTTATTTTCAAATATTTTCTCAACTGACTTATCTCTTTTAGGAATATCTTTACTATCCTTATTATTTTTATTATCTAATTCCTCAGTTATTTCAGTGGTAACTGAAGATGCAGGATCTATCAGATGTGCCATATCTTTTGAAATTTCTTTATCAGATGTAACATTTATTTTTTCCGGTAGATCGATATCTAAGTGTTTAGGTGGAGGTGCACGTAATTTTGTAACAGAATTGTCCACAGTATTCGAAATATCAGTAAGTGAACCATCTTGAAGCATTGGCGGTTTATCGCCAATCTTATCCGGTCTCACTGTTATAGCTGGTTGAACTGCCATTGCATTATTTTTCGGTACTACAATATATCTTTTACCACCCATTAAAGCGATATTTTGAGCCGGTTTCGGCATAGTACCATCGTAACTTTGCAAAAATTCATTTTCCGTTTGAGGGAACCAAGTGCCTTCCTTTTTGTCTATGTTTGATGGTGACGAGTTTGCAGACGGTATTTTGGTAATTTTCGAAAAATTTCTCGTTTGCGCGTCCGTATTATCAGATTTCGGAATTCTTTGCAATTTCGGAGGAGATGAATTAGATTGATGTTTCGATTTTGCATTTTGTGCACCCAACATACTAATTGGAATCAATGGAGGTGGTGTCAAAGATGGATTGTTTGGTGTATGAGATTCTTTAGTATCTGGCTGACAATTCTACAACAGATTTATTTTTATGTATAAAGGTTATCACATTTCAATCTGTGTATATAACAATATTTTTCACATATTTCATGAAATTTAAAAATAATTCTTAAAATAAACTATTGAAAAAAAGTTATTTTTATTAATACAAGTATATATAATAGAAGCTCATCAAAACGTACAATACATAAGTATTGTATATATCTTAATTTTATAACATAAGAAATTTGAACACCTACAATCCAAAACTAATTGAATTTTTTTTATATTCTATAGAAACAAATATTCTGAACAAACAATAAACATGTGAATGGATAAATGAGTAATAAGTTTGATTCCAATTCCATTCACACACTAACAAACAAATCTTTAGCGCAATACTTTATATAATAACTTTAATTAAAGATACATTAAATTCTAATGTGCTACACAGTAAACCTACCTTACAGACATATTCGTCACTGCCTGCAAATTCCATGCCATCGACACATTCAGGATGATATAAACAGAGACAGACTCGACATTGTAAGCTTGGTATTAATCCCATACTTGTCGAACATCTTATGCTGCATGGCTCTTGAACTTTGGGCCTGTAAGACGTGCGTTGAAGAGGGGAAGGAATTCAGGAAAAAACACAAGATTCCCCCATATTAAGGATACGTGAAGGGATCAAAAGGAAAAATAGTTATAAAAATTATAGGCAGAATAAACTTGTCTCCTATCTAAAGACAGTAACTTTGGTATATACATATTATGTTGTATGCATATTAAAGTTATATTCCATAATTATCCATATAATCCATATATACTTGCATATGCAATATGCAAAATCTATGGATATGCATAAATTTAATGCTTTATATAAAAATTCAATAATGTATTTTATTTTCTACTTGCACATAAAACATGAAATGCAAAACTCTAATAAAAAGCAAACAGAAATTAAACTATGTAGTTTAATGACTTCAAAATTTCTCTCTATTTTCTCAAGCATACACAAAGTAAAATAGAACAATTCATATATAAAATATATACTATATTATGATAATATTAAATGTATATATTCGGCTATTAATAATTAAATTGAGAGATTATAAACTTCAAATTTTTAATTGTCAATGTGTTATTTCACTATAAAGTTTTTAGTATTGACATGTTATGCATATAATATGATATACCAAAATATTCTTTTATATTTGATATTAATGGAGACATCAGAATGTTTTAAATATTCAATAAGTAAATTTTTCATATATGTATATAAATATACATATATATACTCACATCCATATAAACATACACAGAAATATTTCAGAAACCTTTTTTGTGTTATCTTTCTGATTAAATTTACATTCAAGATAATATCGAACAATGCATTACATGCTAATAATGAAAGTAAAATTAAATAATTCAAATACTTACGTTAGCAATCTTTTAGTTTTAACAGAAGTAACCTTCTCGGCTACTTGCTGACTTCGTCTTGTATTTGCAATACTTCGTTGAGGTGGAAGCATCTCACTTTCTTCAACTGATGGTTTCATTTCTGTTATACAGATTTCAAGATAAATTTATGAAAATTTATTTTGTAATAATTTTAAAGAAAAAAACACTTTTCTTTTATATATTCTTTTAATAATTATATGAATTTAAGTATATATATATATATATATATAAAGGAAGGGAATACAAGATTGTGTGAAAATATAATATTTAAACATAAAAACATACTTATTTGAGGAGTTTTCTTTGCAGTTGCTTTTGTCTTATATGCCGGAGAGGCTGATGCTTTTGTTGATTTGGGGGTAGCTTTTGTAGACACTGGAACAGGTGCAGGAACGGGTTTTGAAACTTCTGCAACAGGTGCAGGAACAGGGGCAGGAGACTCCTGTACTGACTTCCTTGTTGCAGTTTCCTGTAATGACTTTCTTGTTGTAGGTTCCTGTACTGTTTTTTTTACTACAGGTTCTTGTACTGGCTTTTTCGTTGGTGAGGCTTTCTTATTACCAAAAGATTTTCTTCCCATCGTAGATCCTCCTGAGCTCTGCAATATCAATAAATATCAAGTTTTCATTAGAAAGACTCTTAATAGTAGATTAATATATTAAATAAAATAATATAATATATTAAACTAATATATTATTTAAATAGAGCAATATTTTATAATGATAAAACTTAAATGTAAAAACTCTAAGAACATACTCCTATTCTTTTAGCGTGTCGAACAATCTCCTTTTCAGGATCATTAAGCCCAACAGGTTCTTTGAAGAATGTAAAGTTGTCAATGGTCAATTCCTTTGAACTAACTATAAGATAAAAATCAATTGTGATATTTCTAATATATTCATATAATTAATTAAAGTTACATGTTATTTTCCATCACTATATACTTACGACATTCTGCAACCTCTCTAAAACTCCTGACTTTTTTACCCTTTGGTGTATAATAATAGATATCAGCCATTCTTTTAAAAGAGGAATCATTACTAGCTCTAAATACTAGCTCTCGCTTCCATCCATATTTAAATGGCTCTTTGTATAATGGATTTGACATATCAACAGGAGCTTTTTGCCTTCCTCCTGGACTGGCGCCACGAGAAACGCGACTACTTTTTGATTTTTGTGATATCGCAGATGGACTACTTGCAGCTGATGACGAATTTGCTGATCTAATGGAAGTTATTTCAATTTTGTTTGGTTCCACTTCAGAATCTATGCTATTTGGTATATCAATGGAATCTGTTTCTGATTTGTCAGACTCCTTTTCCTTTTTAATCTTTCCTATACTCAAATGTTCCATACTATCTGTCTCGTAAATATAGGTTTTCATATCGTCAGAATCTTGATCGTCTTCTCTTTTTCCTCTAATGTCAAAGCTCCTTCTTGAATATCTCACACGTTTTACAAGTTGGACTTCTGCCATTTCAGCTTCAGCTATGATAAAACACATTAAAAATTTGCAAATCTGACATTTTTCAAAAATAATATAAATATTACAATAATGCATATAAAACTTTTGCTACAACGTTTCTACATAAATAATCCATTACATTTCTTTCATAATAGAAAAAAATATAATAATATAAATAATTTATTAAACTTTTTCTATTTTTGTTTTAGTTTTTTTCCTAATATTTTGTTTTATATATACATATATATATATATATTGTTATATAGTTCAGTAATTATTTTCAAAGTACTAAAAAGAATTATTACACAACAGAAAACTACCATGTAATTATACTATATAAATCTTATTTTTTTTACATTTCTACATGTAAAAATAAGATTTATATAATATAATTACATGGTAGTTTTCTGTTGTGTAATAATTGTTTACACACATGTGTATATATGTACATAATATAGAAATTAAACTACTATTATATAAACAAGTGATATAATTGTGTGTTATACTTTATAAAAAAGTACCAATATATTATATTTTATTGTCATTTTCTTGTCTGTGATTTTTTTCGCCTACTTATTGATTTTTCAACTGACTTTAGCTTTATATGATTTTTCAGTGTCAAAAGTTTCACATACATTAACGAAAGATATTCAATGTAAACAAAGAAATTTTCAGATAAATCTCAATAAAAAGTTCATGTATTAATTTTTCCATTAAATTCGAGAAAGAGAATTGCACAAAAATAAAAGAAATAAAAATATTTTCAAAAAAGAGGAACATATATAATTATCTCTTCGCCTCAGTTTCAAGACCGAACATAATATTACCAATGAGTTTCTTCAGAACGTGACTACCCGGTTGCAATTCGAGCCCCTTCGAATCGAAGCCGTTGAACTCCGAGTCCTCGGAGCTGACGTCCTCGAGTTCCGAGAATTTACGTTTACGTCCCCTCGTTCCGAGCGGCTCCGTCGCGTCGCTCTCGATGGTGCTCGTGGAGTTGGCCTTGAGCTTTTTCATCTTCCTGCGCGGAAAGGGCGAACCGTGTTTCTTGGGCGAGCCTTTCAGATCGCCGTTAACCTCTTGCGCGTTACTGTCCGCGTCACCGGCCACTGCTTTGCTGCTCGGCGATTCCTCCATTGGCACGGCAGTATCACCACCGTCGCCGCTTTCGAGGTTAGAATCCTCGCGCGATACTTCGGCGTTCCCGCCATTCACGTTCGCGCCGTCCATCACGGCGACTCAATCGCCGAAACGAGGCTGCAGTCTACTTCTCGTAAACGCCGCTCTTTTCGCGCTAATCAACACAATATCGTGCGTCGTTCCTCGTCGTCAATTATCGTGTCGCACGTTCACTAAAGTGCACCGCGCGTCAAAATAGATCCGCTGGCTATCACAAAGAAGCACCACACAGGCAGTCAATCTGTCTCACTCTTTTTCTCTCTCTCTCTCTCTCTCTCTTGCTCTCTCCTCCCCTCCTTCACCCACACGCTACAGTCTCCTCGCGTCGGCCCGCCGTGATCCCGCGCTCATCTGGCCCGCGGATGCGCACCGGACGTGCGCAAATGACCACTACGCGCTATTTACACAATTCCGTGATCGTCGCTGGGCTTGTCGCGCGACGCGTCCACAAACGGTCGTGCATTACGTCCGCCTACGCCCGCACCTTCACGCACGATGACACCGATCACGCCGTCCGAGCGTCACGCTCACACACGCGGATCTCGAACGAAAAATCGGCCTCGGAAGCCACGCAACATTCACGGAGCGTCTGTCCGCGCGACGAAGTACCGGAAATGGCCGTGGAGATATGCGCATGCCGCGTTCTAAGCGCCACCGTCGATCGGACCTGCAGCTGCACGCGCATGAATGCCCCTTTTTTTTAGTGATTTTTGGAACGCGGCCGATAACATAATATGGGAAGTCGTTTGGAACTAGCGTTTGTAACAAAGATTGAAATTACACGTTTATATGCTATTTTCTTATGTGCATTTGCACATAATAGAATGGTATGAAAAAGACAAGAGCGATACAAAGGATAAATAGCGATGCATCGCGATGACGTATTATTTCAGAATTCTTCAGGACGCATTCTCATGAAACAACCGATGCGTTGCACCATCGCACGCATCATGCATAAATAAATGTGTACCGTTTGTACACACATACACAACACATGCACACATAAATATATGTGTAGGTATACTTTTGTCTACTTTTGTAGATGCGATTCGCTACGGTGTGCGATTAAACATACGGAGAGAAGATAGTTTGACAATTGATAGTCTTGACAGATCTGACGTTCGAGACGCTGCGCGATCTTTTGTTCATTTCATTGTCGGTCGACAAGTAGACCGAGTTTAACAATGAGACATTTTTGAGGCGAGGCTCTCATGGACATTACTTGTAAGAGGTGAGCAGCAGGATGTTACGTATTGTCACACACGAAAGTTAAAAGCCGACGCAACCGCGATTTATTTTGACCCCCTCTTCGACGATTGACGACACGTATCATAGATGTTTCGATAAACTCATCCTTTTCGGGGTCGCCCTATGTGTGCCTTTCTACTACGGACATCACGATCTGCGATCGAGGAGTTTCTCTAAAAATGGATCGCGAATTAATCGTAACTCTGGTCTGGCAAAAATCGATGCCATAGAAACTTTGATATAAAAATGTGAATAACATTCGAAAAAATGTCATACAAAGTTGAACCAATATATATATTACTTCATTGAAAAATGTACATATTGTATATTAAAATTAGATATAATGAAGACTATGGAAGCTAATAATATGGATGTTAATAAACGAGATTATAAACTATATAATAAAACATAAAAGGAGTGTAAATATGTATACTCATTAAATAGGATATATAAATAATCAATATAATTTATTTTCCAGTAAAAAACGCATCCTTCAAATGGAGCGTGTTTTCAAAGCTGTACCGGCGGATTTAAGAGTAAAAATGGAGGCCCTTGTGCACGATTTGACTTTGGCACTTGAGGAAAGCAGCAGCAGCGCGAATCTCAGACGCAGATGGGGCATTAGGAGAAGGGCACGTTCTACGGGGAATATTCGTAAGTGTAAGGGAATAAAATTAAACACAATCTTAAAAATTCAGTTTTTACCTAACAAATCAACCCACTGACCTGCGAATCCAATGCATAGAGTTTCTCTCTCGTCGTGCACCGTCGCTGCATCAATGCGCACCGCAAGTTAAATATATATATATATATATATATACATGTATGTATATATATATATATATACATGTATGTGTATATATGTGCGCGCGTATATATTTAATGTAACAGGTTTTTTAAATTTAGTTTTATTTTTACAAAAAAATTTATTAAGATACTTTAAACTAAAAAGATTAAAGCTTTTTATAAAAAATTTTAATTTTATTTTATAAAAAAATTTTTATGAAAAAGATCTGATTGTATATATGTATATTTATTGTTACACCGGTTTTTTTTCTCAATAAAATGTATATATACATACAAATATACAACCATATATAGAGCACTTTCATCCTTTGTATAAATTTTTGGTATTGTAAAAACTCAGTGTTAATAATTATATAATATAAAGAAACTATAAAAATTTTGATATGAATAATATTTTATAACAAAAAATAGCCTTGAATTAAAAAATATGTAAATACAAATGGAGCGTGTTTTCAAAGCTGTACCGGCGGATTTAAGAGTAAAAATGGAGGCCCTTGTGCACGATTTGACTTTGGCACTTGAGGAAAGCAGCAGCAGCGCGAATCTCAGACGCAGATGGGGCATTAGGAGAAGGGCACGTTCTACGGGGAATATTCGTAAGTGTAAGGGAATAAAATTAAACACAATCTTAAAAATTAAGTTTTTACCTAAAAAATCAATCAGACACTAACAAACATGAAAATAATAAAACATGTCTTATGCATTCTAACATGAAAATAATATAGTATATGGATTCTAATTACACTTACACAATTAACAATTTTCTGTAAGGCATAATGTGAATTATCGAGAAAAGATTATCTGTAAAAACCAATTTTTATAACATAAAGAAGTTAATTTTATGTAATCATATGTGATCTTTGAAAATTAAACATGCAATGCATTATGAGATATAACGAGTAACTGATAAATATACTTTGTATTATTATATACAAAAAAAAGCACTATTACGTTTTTAGTATTATTATATATAATAATACTTTGCAGCGGCTTTAAGTATGAACAGACATTCAGATGACAGCTCATCTTCTATTTGCGAAGTTCGTATTCCAAAAACTGCCAGTGTTTCGAAATACCAATCTGACAGCGATGATACAAATCAGACCAAACGTTTCGCGCATTTCTCGAATTTAAATAACGCCAGTAATATAGAAAGTGACTCAGTAAACGAAAATTTTGTACCAAGAGCAAATACAAGACGCAAGAGAAAATTTAAAAAAATGGCCATTGATTCTGACTCTAATGCATCCACTTCTCAAGCAGTGGCAATTATGTCAACTTCAACATTTAGTGGGAAAAAACGTATTTTTCGAAATGACTGTAAAAATAGATACAGCGCTATATGGTAAGAAAATAATTTATAATTATTTATTCTTTATATATGATAAGAAGCGTGACAAACATATTTATATAATATTTACATTTCAGGTGCGGGAAACGTAAGAGGTCGTGTAGAGAACGTTCCATAGATTGCGAGATGAGAATATCTAAACCAACCAAAAATGCAAAGCCGAAAAATCGAGGTAAAATGCAAGGCGAAGACACTGTAGATCATTCGCGTATATCTAGTTCAAGCATCTCGTCTAGCGATTCAGAAGCAGGTCTCATTACTAACGATGAGGATAGGGAAGGTATGCTAGACTTAAAGACTTTAGAGTATTCATGTATTGCTTGGAATATAACAGATATATTATGTAAAATATTACAAATTAAATATCTAATTTTTTTTCGCAGGAGACGATGAACAATCAGATTGGATCGGTGAGTCGAGTTGGCGAGACGATGGAGATAGCACCAGTGACGATAAAACCACATCAGATTCGACTTTTCAAATGATACTGCATGGCGAACACTCAGTAGCCGAAGCCAAGAGGAATTATAAACAAAGAATACAACGGATTCGCGAAGGTCTCAGCGGTAGAGAGATCCGCGCTGGGCGACGTCATGTCGATAACAAACCGGGTTATTCCATCATAACGTCGGCTAACGAGAAGGTCTCGCGATTCCTGCAAGATCCCACTCAGAGCGAGCTGAAACTGCATCCTATGCGACAACCCGAACGAGAGAAGCTACGTCGACTCGCCAACCTATACAGTTTAAGCTTGAAAGGCGATTTAGGCTGCCCGATACTATACAAAACGCGACATACGACACAGGCTGTGTGCGTAGATCAAGTGTCATTGAACAGACTATCGGACTATAAGAGATTGCGAAAGACACCCCCAAATTCACCGAATTCGGATTCCACAATGCAAACCGAAGAGCCACAGACTTCCAGCACAAGTTTTGGCTTAGAGATTATACAACAAGGGCAAAATATATTAGCAGACTTACAAACATTTTCTTCGATTAAATGGGACAACGAAAGTATGGATATCGAGATACAACAAGGACAGTCAAAGTTTCCTGATTTTGGACACTCTAAATCAAGTTAAATATATATATATAATTAAAAAATATGTAAATCTATAATTTTATTCAAAAACTATATGATATCATAGATTATAATATATTGAAAACTGTGATATATACATATATATTCAATGTGTTATAATCTGGAAAAAATTATATCTGTAAAATTAAAGGTTTAGCTCAGTACCATTTGCATATTAAGATGACAAATAAAACAAGCTTACTTATTTAACATGTACATTAATTCTCTATTGTTCTATGTTTATAATATATATACACAATATGTAACTTTTTCTAAACCACACATATTACAAAGTGTACATTCATTATGCAATTTTTTTTTATTTTACAAAATTTTAAAATAACATGTATCTATCAGATATTGGATGAAGTAATAATATTTATATAGAAATACTCACTTGAATTAACAATATCCAAAGGAACATGCAAGTGATATTTCTTGTAATCTTGTATCATAATAAGATATAAGATTATGATATAGAAGATCAAGATAAAGTCTATTTATTTACATTTTTATTACTAAACTTAATTTGCCTGATTTTGTCTTTTAGCAGCTGCCATAGCATTTTCATTAGCAGTCATTTGAAATTCTTGGAACCGTTGAGACACTCGTTGATTCATTTTCAGATACTTTTCCATACAATTAAGAGCACATTTCTCTTCTTTGGTTTTAACTTCTCGCGTCGTAAAGTCAGTTATACAATCGATAAAGCAAATTTCTGAGAGTTTATTATACGAAGTCAGAAAGTCTCGAAACTGAAACAAATAATATATTCATATTATATGTGCTTAAATAAATTCACCTTCATTATTATTTAAGTATATACAAATATAACTTATACATTGTTAAAATTGTTTATAATGTAACGAAAAAATATATGATAAAAAAAGATTATTTATATGTATACACACAAGTGTAGAAATACATACAGATTTTATTTGATCAGCATCTACATCAGCCGGAACTTGCATCGCCATTATGTAAGTTAAATGATTTCTGCAAAATAACTTTGTTGTTAATTTTTACTGTATTCGTAATTTCGCAAATATATACATATATATCTCGTCCAACTCTGACGGATGCTTTCGAGGTTAGGAAGAAGCACGTGCGCGAGATATATATATACAATTCAAGTAAAATGATTTATATATATCGTAATATTACATATCATACGAGCTTATTGGACGTGTCGATTAGTTATCGAATAGGGACTGTCTAGGGTTTAAAAGTCTCTCGCAATAGCAGCCAATCCGAACGTCCAACAAAAGCTTGTACGACAAATAAAATATCGCCTTTAATAACGTCATCATGTCTCTTTGAATATATCACGGGAAAAAAATTAATATAAAAACAATATCATAATTCGCATCTAATTACTCAAATTGCCATATCTAACATTATATGTTTTTTCAGATCACACATATTTAATTCGAAGATAAAAGAGAAAACCTCAATTTTCTTTTGCTTATTTTTATTATCTTAAATTCTAAATTGCCGCGGAGGTCGTCAAGAAGTGTTATTTGCTCGACGTTTTATTCATATCGATATTAATTTTACACAAAGTTGATATTTCGAAAGTTATATGGCAGAAAAGAATAATGCCGTCATGTCCATTCATCTATTCAAACAGATAAAGGTATGCAAAGGGTAAAGTAGATGAAATTTAACGCGCGAATTTCAGGTTTAACCACTGACCGTTACAGTAATTGAAAAGTGAGCTCTCGCGGAGAAATTTTTTGGGCGAGAGTTAAATGAAATGTAGTGAAAGTTAAATGAAACGGGATCGATTCGCGTGTCGTTCGATCGTCGCTTTTGAAAGAAGCACGATATCGGCGGAGTTCGATGGCAGTAAATAAACAGCAGATGTTTCGTATCGACACGGCGGATCGATGAAGCGCGGACCCTTCGTTGTTCGTCCATGCATTTTTGCCTTTGTTTTCGAAATGATGAATAATATATTATTATCGTACTATATTACAGAGATATGTGGAGAGGGGAGGTAACATTTTATGCCAAATATATAATAAATATATAATAAATACGTAAAGAACGAAAGATTGCGCGCGCGTGCGCGTGTGTGTGTACATATATTCTGTGCAAGAGACGCTACATGTTCCTTTTACGAGGCGGTATTTTTGAAAATAATTGGCTCCATCTTTTATGAGACATGATATCTTTTATGGGACACGAGATTCGTATAACATTAATAATTTTTATTTTAAACGTGACAATCACGCCAATGGCGGGAAGTCGGGTATCGGGGAATCGTTTTGTTGCCCAGTTCAGTTGAGTTTCGTTCCGCACGAGTATGTTCATAACGTTTTGTCTTCGTTACGGTAGCGTGAATTTAGCTGACAGCTGAGGGTTCTTGCGCGAAGCCAACGGACTTGAAACGCGCTGTATGTACAAGTCACACGTCACACGTCTGTTAAATCTTGGAACGCGTACACGTTAAATCGCTGGTTTATTCGCTTCGAGTTTTATGCAAGTTATATAAACAAATTCTTTGCAATAATTAAAAAAATAAATAATTTAATTTTTTGGCTTTTCGGGATTTGGTGATGAGATTGTTTGATATGTCGTGCAATTATTTATCGCTTGTATTTCCGCACTATTGTAGATAAATAGATTCATAACCCCATTGTTGCGTGTTATATTGCCGACATGATTGTAGTTGTAAGTTATAGTTGTTGAATTTATGTTAATTTACATTTATTTATTCTTGTTTTAATTAAACTGATAATGTACAATTTATTGATTTATCGTTATTTTTGTATTTTGTATTATTGTAATTAACACATGCCATGTTTGATATTCCAGATAGTTAAATAATATTGCAATCGTCGGAGAACCGCTGCTGTCAACATGTTCTCGAGAAATGTTTCTTCCGAGCGACGAGCGAATCTCGTAGTCGATAGGAAAAGATCCGCATCTGCGGGAACATCATCGCAGAAGACGCGATCTTCGAAGGGCGGAAAGTCCATAAAAACCGGCGCGGCGAAACCGCGAGGTTCTTGCGAGCAGCGGCTTCTTTCGCGAAAGGAGAATAAGAAGGTGCGCGACGATGCGAAACACAAGGATTGCTTGTACGACGAGACATGCGTCGCCAGCGCGGATAACAATGACCCGATTTACATTTTACGGAAGGAAATACACGACTGGAGAATGTCGGGGCAATTAGCGAACGGATTTGAACGCGATCAGCGCGTTACCGAAGATGAAAGAGAGAAGAGTTCCGTTCCAGGTAAAAAAATAATTAATCGCTACAATTCCTAGCAATCAATAGCACATTAATAACACGTAATAGAAAGTTAAAACGAATAATTGCTATGATATATGGTACTGTTAAATTTTGACAAATATTTTCGAGTCGTTTTTTTCGAAGGTAGTATGTATATAAAAAATTATAAAATGCAACAAATTTAAATAAAAATATAAGAGACTCGAAAAAGTTATTAGAGTAAAGATTTATCAAAGTACTCGAAATTTATCTTACGCTAAATTTAAAGGGAAAAATCGTCTCTATTAATTAATTTTAATAATTTTCAGAAAGATGGAGTCAAGTTGTCACAAAGGACCTACAAGATGTTCTGTCTGATCCAGATATTTTGCCTGAGTTACCGAACAGCATCGTCGTCGATCGGTCAACGCGATGCACGTGAGTACACTTGTGTGTGAAAATTTATTATTACCAATTGAAACTTTCATATTTATCGAAATTTGATATGCGCTCGCGTGAAAACTCGGGAAAGTTTTGCGGAAACAGATTATTATCCTGGATTTTTGTGTCGAAGACGCAGTTGCGCATACGTGGTTTATTAAAGATTCAAACGATTATACTTTATAATACATCACGAGAGAAACGACAAGATGATTGCGAAACTTGTTCAGTAATGAAATTTTGTTCTCCGTTTAGAAACGATCATGTCTGTGAAAATATCCGTGTATTGTATAATATCCTTTTGCGATCTTTCGATAATTCACAACCGACTATTTTATTCTATATATTTAGTTTTTTCGCAGCGATAATTACACGAGCGTACCTTTTTCGTCAGATATCGGAGCCGTGTCTGCTCGCTCGCATATAGCCGCGAGTTATCGAGCGCGACTATTTTCTCGACGTAACTTATAATAAGCTCGGGTTTTTGCACGGTGCGATTTCCCGACGCGAATAATAACGCGCGCCAGTGATTTCTTGTCAGTGTCTCAGATAAAGCAGCGACTCTCAAGATACGATTTCACGCGAAGGTAAGTGAACAACTTCCGCTTGCGCGTGTGCACGCGACATACTATTAATGCTATTTTTATACGCGCGCGCATTCGATATGCACGAATCTGGCGTGATCAAGTCGCCGTGTCTCCAACGATCATTCAAGAGACGCAAGGAAAGAGAGGCTCGCGCCTCGTTACGTAAGTAATTGTAAATAAAGAACGAGAGAAAAGAGAAGCGCGATCGGTGTATCTTCGTTCGCTCTTGTGAGCCGGACACCCGCCGAGAAAAGAAGCTTGGCTACATTATACTGGAATTTTCGAAAGTTTCGACAAACCGGTTCCCGATCGGGCGCAACTCGTTTGTGACTCGTCGTCGATAATATCCCGCGCGGAAAGATGCACACCGCGTACCGTTTACTGGAAGCTGTTCGCCCGACGATCTTCGTCTTCCCTGACAGCTCACGGATAGCCGAATCTTCCATATTGTTTTACTGGAATAATTTATATCGCAATCGGAATCCTCGATGCTACGGATGATACGCAAAACTAATCTCTCCGGGTTTATCCATGATAATTAGTCTAACGATAAGATATCAGAGTTTCGTCATGTCTGTAGAATCGATAACTATCTCAAGTAAAATTGTATTAGATCCCTTCTCTAGTGTAGCGATATAAATATCACTCAACGCGTATACGAACGCGCATTTTTTATCATAACGGAATTACGCACAGAGTAAAAATATCGCGGTTATTTATATGTACGTTCGCGAATCCGATAAACACGTATATAGGATCGTTGTAACATGACAACACGTGCGAGAAACGAGACGAAGCGGGTATATAATGATAGAATTGAAATTCCGTGTCAAGAGACAGAGAGAGAAAAGCGACTTTGTCCTCCACGGTCGAGGACGAATTCGACAATTCCTGCGCTCGTCATTCGAGGCACGGCCCGGCGCCCGAAAATATTTTTACTACACGAGCACGCGAGCCGCATGCATGCAGACTCATTAAGTATAAACTGGCTATTGTTCTCACTAACCTACAGCACTGTGCGCCTCATTATCATTTTTCGCTCGTGATGCCACTGTTAAAGGCCCGGACGGGGCACCTTCACGAAAACTAAACATGTCAGGTGCGCCACGTCCCGTGGGATTGTTCTCATCCGATAAAAAAAAAAATGGACGAATCAAACAACTTCTATCAGTTTCTTGGGGGCAGCTTAAATTAAATTTTTTTTTCTTCCGGGAAGAGAGAGAGAGAGAGAGACCCCTGAATTAATAAATCCAAACTAATTTGATAGTCGATATAAAGGCTCTTTATGATCCTCCTTAAATCAATCTGAACCAACGCAGTTAATTTTTTTTATCTGTTTCCACAGTTTATTTCTATTTATTGATTGTAAAATATCACAGGTAACGAAATATGATAAGAGACGATTTGATTTAATTGACGTGAGTCAATAAAATCGAAAGTAGGGTAAAGATTAAAAGATAAAAAATTTGATAGAAATTTACTCCGTGAAATTGAGAATTATTATATACAATACAATATATATCTGAAAATTTAATACCGAAGCATTTCGAATGTAATTTTATAGTATAAATTTTATATCGATTCTTCTTCAATTCATATAATTTTTGCAGGATTATGTAAATATTCTTATGTTCACAAAATATATTATTTTTGCGCTATTCACGGACAGTTGAATTTCCGGCGTAATAAATACATAATTCACGCTCGCCGCTTTAAAATGAAAAAGGCACGACAAAACAATCCGATTTAAACAATGCCCTATTTAAAATAGACATCAGGTGATTTCCGAAGCGCATAATCTTCCTCGAATATTTCAATGTAATATAATGCCCCTGTCAGCGTACTAAAAAGGCTAAAGACAGTTTTGTATAACTTGCACGGGCGAGAGAGAGTTTTGAAGCACAGTCAGCTCATCCACACGGATAATGATGTAGGTTAGGTTCCCAAGTATATATCGCAAAAATCAACATTCTTCGCGAAGTCGAGGCTCGCAAAAAGCGTAAACCGGTTTGCCTCGTAAATGGCACACGAGCGTGCGAACGGGAGACGCGGACGCGGCGGATAAAGGAGCATACCGGGAGAATAAAGGAGGATGCACGGAGCTCTCTCGCGAGGAAAGACTCCTCGCGTCTCAGTGTTCCTTTGTGTAAATAGCTTTTCTTGGATTTCTGCGGTTTCGCAGCGCGAACATAAATCACACATTATTGCGAGTATTATGACACATTTATGATGAAAGAAACATTGCCTGCGCGAGCTGTCGGCAATTTAATCTTCGTTGAATGCAATTAAAGATGCGATTTTAAAATGCCTCTTTTATATAGCATATGTAAATCCAATTTTTAAAGCTACAAACTACGACTTTTATCGACTCTAACAGTTTTTACAAATATAGAAGTTATGAAAGTAGAAAAAGACTTTCGGCAGTATAGACTTGATCAAGCAAGTATAATAAAGTTAAATAAAAATTTTAAAAATTTATTTATAACTTTAGCATAAATTTTCAAGAAACATCTTTTTCAATTTTATATACGCATGTTTAATAACTTGTAGAATAAATAATTTCTCGCTTTATATTTATTAGCATCTTCTCAGAACCGGTTTAAACCATTTGCCCCAGTTTAACCGTTAGTACACTTAACTTGTATCCGTGTGTGACATTTAAACACATTTTTTTCAATTATATCTAAATTAACTCTTTGTGTGTAAAATTGAAAAAAGAAAGAATATTGAAATAATTAATTATATTAATCATTCATAAGAAAAATGCGGATATAAAGCTAAGAGCGTCCAGTACAAGAATGGTCTCTTTATTATCTTCCTCGATTTTCACAGAAGAATGAAAATACTCTATTACAAAAACCCCAAATATAATCCAAATATATCCGACAGAGATCCCCCTTCGTTTGAGTTCGTCGTCCTGTTAGCCCGGTTTTACAGCACAGATAAGACAGATAACACGGTTCACGCGCGTTAAAACGATGAGTTAACGTAAAATTGTCGTGCTAGCGAAAAAGTAGAGAAGGAAAAATAAAAATGGGAACTCTTCTCTAGTCGACTCGAGGCAGACGACGAATTTCCGGTTTCATCGTACATTGACCCTGCCGCGCTCGAGAAGAGACCGTTCTATGTGGGTTATGTTTGTCTATGCTTTCTCCACGAGGAATCCGCCGATAAAATTGACTGGCGGCATGCCGAAGAGCACCGACGAACTGACGTCACGGAGTCGCGCGTAACGTTACGTAAAAAAGAAAAAAAAAAAAAAGATAAAAAGAAGAGGAAAAACGTCTCGGCTGGCGCATCTCTCCTCGCACATAAATTATCGTCGTAGAGCTACGCTATTTGCACGTGGCGCATTTAACTTTCTAAATATAGCTATCCGGATTCTCATCGCGTTTATACTATGCGCGCGATATTTTTTTTTTTTTTCATACTACGCAGTAAGAGAAGTAGACACTCGTACGCGTACGCACGTAGCGCTAAACAAAGGCGGTAAAAAAAAAAAAACTCCGAGCCTAACGCCGCGTGAAGCGCGCATCCGTATCTTACATTTACCGCTAATCATTATCATCCGATCATTCTGATAACATTGTACGTTCATATTAAAGGAATCAACCTTGGAAATCTGACGGTACATTTAAACGCGAAACGAATACGAGAGATAATATAGGATAATGTTTTTCATCCGAAATTATCTCGATTTACGAGGTAGAACTCGAGAGAAGTGAAACAGAGATGAATCAGAGTAGGAGAGATGAAAAATTATTTGTCTCCGTTATATAGTAGTCGCGAAGGAGAACGCGCGCGTTTAGCTGTACGTGATGCATAGAATGTCGCTTAATGCGAACGTAAGCGTCGCATAAGCGATGCTACGCTACGCTACGTGCGGCGACATGCTCCACCGAGTAGAGTTCGCCAGCCAAGCAATCAACCGGCCAGCCAGCCAGCCAACCAAACCAGCCGCACGTTTTTTACGTAACACTATGCGTAACGCTGACGCGCGTGACGTCAACTCGGCCGGCACCGCGCCAGCCGACCGCTGCCGACAACGACGACGACGACGACGACGAGGACGACGAGGACGACGGTGACGGGAAAGGAGGGGAAGCGAACGGCACGGCCACGGAATTCTTACGAAGAAAGCACGCATCGAGCACAGCCGAGTGCGACCGAACGTAGCCGGGGCGACCGAACGAGCACGCTGCGCTCTCCGCACCGTTCCGTTCCGCTCCGCTCCTCCGTCGCTCTCCGCTCGCGGCATACTTGCACGAGGCGGCAACATCGCGAGCGTCTGTTAGGTTCAAGGGTACGAAGCGGAGGTTGGCCGGTTGGCTTCGTCTCGCCGCTCGCCGCTCGTCGTGGCGCGGCCACCACTCGCACGTTGGACCGCTCTTTGGCGCGAGCGCGAGTCTGCTTTCATCAAACGGGAAATTTCTCGAAAGACGCGCCAAGGGGTCGTATAGTATAACGTATCCCGTAATTGCAAACCACGTGGACATCATAGACAGCTTTGTTCGTTAGCCGAGCGATTACGGTGAATGAGCGAAATCAGAGACAAATGAAAGAAATCGCACCTTCGTAGATGACTGGCTTGTGTTAGCGATGTTTATTCTTATAATTAATTCTATAAGCCAATCAATGCGTTTAGCGCGTTTTTGTTCTTAACTTTTTACTTTTTATTGTTTGGACTATGTTTTTTTTAGATATTACATCTCATTATCAAACGAAATTTAAATATATAATATACATACATATATATATATAAAGATTCTTTTAATATACGCTTTTAGAATATATGTACTAATAAATCCTTTATCTTTTTTTAACTATGCGACATGACGTCTCTTAATTTTTAACGTATCTCTCAATTGTCTTTTATATGAAAAGGTGAGTCAATGGTAACTTTCAGCCTCGTGCGTTTATAGATATAAACGAATTGCTGTATATATGCACAGACGAGACAGTGCATGTTTCGTTGCGGTTAAATGGGCATCCGCTCTTTTAATTGGATTCTCTGAATTTTCAAGCGACGAGAATATCGTGCAGTATACATCCGGGAGATTCATGAAAGATCTATTGAACACAAAGTCTATCAATTATCGATGTGTGTGTGTGTGGGCCAATTACGATGATACTATGAAACTGATAAGTCAAAGTGAAAGGTTTATCTATTAAAAATATTGTATGACACATTTTTAAATTAATAGATTATTTATCATCGTTTTCTCATGTAATTTGATTACCCTGACAACAAAGAGACACTTTTACATTTGAAAAGTCATAGTTTCGAATGCAAGTTTTAATTAAATAACTGAAAGTTAATTTCACTAGAGATCGAAACGTTCTTCTTTACACCGATATAATTTTATTTGAATCTTTTAACATTTTTTCGAAGTACAGCGCGCTAAAGTATATGGGTATCAAAAAAAAAAAAAAATCCACAAAAAATATACAATATATTTTACAAGTTTTATGAAATTAAATATATTGTAAAATAAAATTTTCTATTTTTCTCTGTCACATTTTACACTTTTAATTAAAATACTAAAAATATAATACACCGATTATGCGGAGAGATACTACAATCTCAATATAAGAACTTTAATGAACCTTTAATGAACTTTAATGAAAAGGCTACAATCTAGTCACTACACGCCTACGATTCAAAAATATGACATTAATTAATCATGTTATAGGGACAAATATGAATTGAATATTGATCGATAATTCGAATGCATTTATGAGAAAAAGATTGGCAAGATGCAAAATTCTCAGGCGTCCTAGAAAAATCGAGCCCTTTGTCCGCGATTCATATTATGCATTGCGCGCATTCATTGGATAACATCTGCTTAATAGTACAATGGTCTTACGAAAGCGCGTTCCGTTGGGTCCCTTTTATTGCGTCTCACAGAGCCTCGCCGGTCCCCGAAAAGGGTCGCCCCTTCGAGAGAAATCTTTAAGACGGCCCCCGACATCTGTCCTTTACGGCCAACCGAAGTGAGGAAAGTGAGTTTGCACGTGTCCCTCTTACCCGAGGGAACCCAAAAGCACGTGGGGCTTATTGTGTACCGCGCGCAAAACGGGAAGTGGCAACTGACATCTGCTTTGCGTCACGCGAGATTTGTGGGTCGAATTTTATTTTCGGAAG